GAAGATGCCACTGCATGTAGTTAGTAAGCTTGACACAATCACGAGAAGCCAAGCAGCACTCTTGGTTTCCTCCCACTGCATCTTAGGTACCAATCCTGCAGCCTAGAATGCAGTGAGAGCTGTGGCAAGTATCAAAGCCAGACCCAGCAGCTGGAGAATGCAGTGAACAGGGCCGAGGTTTATCTCCATCTCTGGGGGTAGATTATGTTTTCAGTGAACAGGCATTAAGCTATAATGAGTGGAAGGAGGCATGAAAATGCATAGGTGAAATGCATGGCATTTTTCAATTTTAAGAAAAGATAACTGGCAGTATTTGTTTAGTATTTTTGATATTAATTTCTTTATTCATTGTGCAACAAACTTGGCTTTTGTTCCTTTCTGGGAATCTGACTCCTTCCTGGTCTACTGCTCAGGCAGGCTCTAGGGTTTTAAAGAAACTGAGACATCTGCTGCACAAGAATCCACTTGTCACTCTTGTCACTCTTGTGCAAACCAAGTGTGCCTGTGGAAGCCCGCACCGCATTTTTTGGTCTGTTTGGTGATATGTTAGTTTCTCAGTTACAGTGCTGTAGTCCTGACCATAGCCAGTTCTAACAGCACTGCCTCTTTTGAGTGAGAAGCTATGAAATGTTATTTATAGGGAAACAAGTGGTGATACCACCTGTGAAGTTTGGTTTCCCTTCTGCTAAATTTGTGGCATCTATGCGTTACTGCTTTTTATCTCTTGTGATCTGATCAGCACTTTGGGTATACCACCAGGTTAGCTGTCAGCAAACCTTTTGGGTCTCTCCTTTTACTGGTGCTATTAATACTTTTTGTCATCAGCCTAAAATGGTCTCTTCATGTTGCTGCCTTTCCTCTTAAGTGCTTGAAATCCTTGCTTCAGTGTCTTTCAGCAAAACCAGGGAAGACAGAACTCCTGTTTCTAAGGTACAGAAATTCATCAGTGACTCATTTGCTCACACTTACCATCAAAAAGATACAAAAAGGGTATTTATATCACCATCTTCAGTAGGTCTGCCTTCATCTAAGTGATGGCACTTTGAGCAAATGCCTGACAATAATTTGGTGCTGGTGAGTTCATTGTTTGAGACTTGCCCTGCCCTGCCCGATTCCAGCTGCAGAAAGAGAGGAGGGTTACAAGAAGTTGCCTGAGTCAGCGTGTAAATGCCTTCTCTTGGCTGCTGTGGCTTGATCCAGTCTGTGCTGAAGGTCTCAAAACAATATTGTAACAGAGTTAATAGCCGTTATTTCATTCTGGTCCCTCCTTTCATCAGCCCACGCTGGACCAGACACGCTCCAGAGCTAATGGAGAAATGGGATAGGCAGTCTTCCATGGAGGTAATGTTAATGTGTGCTGAGCGTGCATGCAGGCAGGCTGGGGGGAGTGATTAATGCTCTGGGAATCCACTCTGCCTTGCTGCACAATGCTGTTGTGTTAGGCCTGGAGCTTGGCACCGGGCGGGCTGCAGTCGGAACACGTTACCTAGTTTGTGCAGGATCAGGCAGCGAGACAGAGACGGCGTGTTCTCAGTGGGGTGAGTTCGCTGCTGCGCTGCAGCTTCATACTTGCACAGTGAGGCTGTCTTTGGATGCAGGTCTGCTGCTGGGCGGGGGCAAGAGTCCTGCAATTTGCAGTCCTGCTCTCGGCCGGCGTGAAGTCCCAGTGTTTGCTCAGTTGTGGAGGAGCCTTCCCTCCCTCCCCCTGGCAGGCAGGAATCACCCATCCCTGAGGTGAGAGGGGATGGTGCTTGGCCTGCTGTCAGGAGCCCTGACTCACTGGGGATCGCAGGCGGAGCCCAGCTCTCCCTGCAATCTGCTCTTCCTGCTGGAGCCTCTGTGCGAGCTGCTGCTGGATGTTTGTTTTCACCAGGTCTAGGGTGGATGTGGGAGATGCCCTGGTCCGCCATAAAAGCTGAAGAGCTGGACTCAGTAAGTTTCCAGTGTGGAAGATGCTGGGAGACTTGCTTCTCTAGGTGGGGGTTTGGAGAAGATGTTGGCAGGCAGCACTCCATGGAGTAAGACATGGCCAAGATCCTGGAAAACAGAGTATTTTGTGTTCAATTCATGTTATGGAGCAAGCAAACCCCAGAAGACTGATTCACTGCTTTCGAATACAGGGGCACACTGTCTAGACTCACATGGAGTGAGGGAGTGATCCTGCTCTTCTTGGTACTGCTGAGGGAACATGAGCTTGCTGGGATTCTTTTTTTGGCAGTTTCAGAAGTTACGTCACGCTTTCTTACCTCATGAGCTGGCTCTCAGGGAATGCTTTTCACATGAATGTAACTGACGTTAATATATACATGGTGGAACAGTTGCAATCCTGCCTGCCCCTCTCTATCTTCTGCCTCATTGGAAAATCATGTACGTTTTAATGAGTAAGTCCCCAGAGCTGCAGGTGAGTTAAGGAAGTGACACTGCTGTTTTCGTGGGCAGGATCTGAGCCCCGGACAGTGGGAGGGCCGTATCCTCAGCCCCAGTGACTGCAGCAAAGCCAGGGTTTGGGTCTGCAGCACATATGCTGTGATCCTTGCACTCCTCAGCTCACTCTTACATTACACCTTTGATGGAAGAAATGGAAGAGATCTTACTATAATCGTGTGCTCCTGGAGAAACTACCCTCAGGCAGCAATTATGCCTGCAATACTTTTCTCCCCCTTTGTCCGGCGCAGCTGTGAAGTTTGCGTATTCAAAGTATGGCAAGGATTCCTCGGCCCCCGAGCTCAGTCAGCAGCCTGTCTGCAGGGTGGAGGGCAGCCCCAGGTGCCTGCAAGGGGCTGCCACTGCTGCGCCTGTCGCTGCTGCTCTCCTGTTCCTGTCAGAGCACGCAGCAGCGTGCCCCAGCCACCCCACCCCACCTCAAACAGCGCAAGGCTCCTTCCTTGTCTTTAGTATTTTCAAGCTAATTGATGCCTTTTCCATCTTTTTCCCTGCTCCACATGGTCATGTTTTTAATACTGTTACTCCTTCTGCCTCAGTAGGTTCCTGCTACCCTGAACTGCAGCTCTTTGTGCTCCTGATTCACTCCAGTCCATTCATCTCTTTTTGGTAGCAAAGTGCTGTCGGCTGCTGGATATTGGGCTCTTTGTTTGTCCAGCCAGCACAACGCTGGTGACAAAGGGACAGCCTGTGCCCCAAGGAGCCCACGTGCTACGGGGAAGGCAGTGGAGAGCAATAGGAGTGACGGATGGGACGGCAGAGGTGAGGGTGGCCGGGGGCCGGGGCGCAGTGTGCTGGCTGCAGCAGGGGCACGGCTGGGGGTGGGAAGGGACGTGCTGAGGAAGCTGTTCCTGCCGAGTACAAACCCGCTTTGTTCCCAGGAGGTGAGTCGGACTGGATAAACAGAGCAGTCCCGTCAGCAGAAAGCCTTTCCCTGGCTGGATCCCCTGCTGGCACTCTCGCTGGAAGTTGGCTGCACCTCATCAGCAGGGATGTTTTTCTCCTCCCTGTTTTAGCGTCCCCTCTTCCTGACTCTCCGGGGCTCAGGTGGGCCAAGCGCAGCTGGTATGGAGAAATGGGGGTCCCAGGGGCCCTGTGTGTTTGCTGTGGGTGGTGGTGTGTGTCATCACCGTGCTCTTTCTGCTGTTGGCTAGGCGGGACGGTTTGACAAGCCGTGCTGAGTACAGGACGGGTATTGCCAGCTGCTTGGCGCTTGGAGGGTGGCTGTTCACCGTGCACGTAGAGGTGCTTTGGGAGGGGAGGAGGTTGGGTTCTATTGCAGGGAAGTTGTGTCTGACTGGATGGAGTAGGGACTCTGCTTGTAATGTGAGAGGAAAGCAGCCTGTGTCAGGGGGGCTGGTGGGAAGGATGCTGACGTCCCAGCATTGCAGAGGGGAGGGCTCTGAAAGCACCTCAGAGAGGTGTCAGCAGTGCCATGCTCTGCCCGTAATTGCAGTGGGACGGTAAGATGAAGGGAAGCACTCACCTGTCTGAGGTGCAGATGTTGAGGATTAATCTTAGGGTTCCTTGTTGCCTTGAAACCTTTCAGTTCCCCTCCTAAGGGATCTGGAAGGAGGAGAAGGAGCAGCTGAAGCAGCAGGACTGCTGCTACCTTGGTGCGGTGTATTGCCTTGATGGTGAGGCTGCTTGGTACAAAGCAAAGATGATACAGAAAAGTGTCCTGGCTCAGCAGCTGCTTCCAGAGGAGGGGACATAGCCCATGATCATCTTTGCCTGCCTTCAGGTCCCCTGTCAGGGGAGGTTTCAGCCTTGGCTCCTAGAACCTTGGGACAGGGTCTGCACCCTCATCTCAGCCTGGCTTCTGCCAAGAGCCATGGTGAGGCCTCCCAGGGAATGGCTGAGCCTGGTACCTAGAAGGCAGGAGGGGCATTTCCAGCCAGGTCTGAGGATGCCCAGGCTGGGTCAGCCCAGGCAGGGGTGGGAAGAGTTTGCCAGTGGGAAGAGGGTGGTGGGGTGAACTTGCTTGAGTGTACCTTGTACCTGTTCTCTTGCTGGGCAGTGTGACACTACTCCAGCACACAGTTCCTGTGACCCTGAGCGGTGGTGTGGGGAGGGGGTTGCCTGTGTCTGTCCTGACGGAGCACGCATGGTGGGACCACGCAAGTGAGTGGTGCTCTCTGCCCACCCGGCCCTGGCGGGCTCAGGGCTCTGCCCTGCATGTCAGGGAAGCGCTGAGCTTCCTCCCCTCCTCTTGCTTCCTTCCTGATCGGAATTCACTTCCAATTTTCTTGTCGCTTCTCCCACCATTGCAGCACAAACACGTGTCCCCACAGAGATAGCCAGAGGGGCTGGACAAGGCAGGGTTGGACCATGGGGGCTGCATTGCTGGAGACCCTTGGCTCCTGCGGCATGCTTCACAAGGCAAGGGGTTTCAGCGAGCTCAAGATAGGACCCCTTTGCACTGTTCCTGCCTCTTGTGCTCAGGAAGAGTTTTACTTTCTGAGCATATATGTGATAATTTCAGGTGTTTCTGGCTGCTAACAAACTTCCCGCTGTGTCTCAGCCTTAGGTGCCGATCCGCCTTCAGACCCCACGCAATGGAGGTTGGCTCTGTGGTACGAGCAGTCTTTGATTTCTGTCCCAGCGTCTCTGAAGAGCTGCCCCTCTTCGTGGGAGATGTCATCGAGGTGCTGGCCGTGGTGGATGAATTCTGGCTCCTCGGCAAGAAGGAAGGTGTCACAGGTAAGAGCTGGAAATGCCTGCACCTGGATCCATACATATGCCAGGTAAATGTTCACTCCATGAGCACACCTTCCCTTGGCCAGTGCTGTGCAGGACCAGATCTGATTTACTAAGTCTTTCATGGGACTTTTCTTGGGACTGAGGATGCGGGTTGCCCGCCACTTGTCTCCTGCCAGCTTTGCGTCAACTGTTTGTTGGTTTTTGAGAGAGATTAGTGGAGGGTCAGTTCTCGAGGAGATGAGAGCTTCACAATACTGGTTGCTCTGTGCTGAGACAGCCCATTTCCTGGCTAGTTTATGCTCTGACCCACTGTGGCAGTGGAAGGGGAGAGAGGAAACAGATGCACTGAGAGTGGAAATGCATCCACATCCAAGTGACCTTGTCAGGTCAAGTCAGTGGGAGACACAGCGACAGAATCCGTGTGTCCCTCCAAGCCCTCTGTCTCAGCCCCACTTCCTCCTTTCCGCTTTAAAGCACTTTTCCTGCGCAGGCTGCCATCAATATCTGGGTGCCTAAAGTAGTGTGCAAGTCTCTTAAACTCTTGGAGGGATGTAAGAAACTTCTGAAACAGCAAAATGCTCTTAGTGAAACACACAGAGACTCACAGTCCCTGTTTAAGCAGCTCTTTCTCATCTTAATACTGATGTTGAGAGCATGTGTGAGCTCTCAGGGAGATGAAAACCAGGCCACTTCAAAGCATAAGCCTGACTGTCTTCAGCATGAGGGTGGGACTGGAGTCTCATCCCTGGCCGTGGAGATGGGGCTGCTATTGTAGTAGCAGTCTGGGCTCTGCTAACAGCCGCAGACTGTCTCCTGGCTAAAACAAAGATGGAAAGGAGCAAAGGTGGAGAGGAGGACTTCTCTCCTGTGCTCCACATAGCTGATAAATGGCATTGAATACACGCGTGCCTGATCCTGCTGCTGCTGCTGAAGTCACTGGGCACAAATTACTTCTGCAGAAATCACCAGTATCTGCTTCACCACAGTTTTGTCTCCCAGCATAATTGATGTACTTGTTCTCAAGAAGATGAAGCTATTAAGGAATAATAAGCAGATGTGTGTCATAGCACAAAGATAAAGAAACACACTGAAGTCAAACCAAATGGTTTTTAATGACCTTTAACTCAA